GCTGTTGACGTTGGCGCATAGCAGTTAATAATGCTGACTGTGGTGCGCCTGTCGATGCGTAGCCGGAGAATGGCCAGTCGCGGACTGAGTACCTCGGTTGAGTCGATCAGATGTTCGATCCGACGATGGACCAAGAATCCCACGCCTCCGACGTTTTTTCCGTCGACTTTCGCTCCTAGAACGAAGAGGTGCCCGTCATTGGTCTTCTTGATGGCCGTTTCCTTGGTTTTCGTCTCCTGAAAAGCAATGACGTCGAAGCGAAGCCTCTTGCTGGTCTCACTCAAGATAGTTTGGTCCGCCTTCGAGGCAATGGTACGGCAGTTGTAGGTACAAATTCGTAAGCAGTCTCCATGCCTCGAAGGTTTTTCGTTCTGTGCACTCCAAATCCTGCGGCGGTTTTTGTCTACAGGTCCCTTCAGGTCGCCGTTTGCTCCAGTGCACTTGGAGCTCGTGCTTCCATCTGCGCCGCTCCGGACCGTCATTGTGCGTGTTGGAGCTGTTGTACCGTCCTCGGGTAGCTAGCCCATTTTGAGGCGGTTTTTACCTCCACTGTTAGCCGGAATTCCTTCCGTTTCGCCCCCTCGCCACTTCGAGGCCAGTGGTAGGATTTGGGGGGGATAAGATGCATTACAGCTTGGAAAAGTGCAAAGCTAGCATCTGACGCTGTGATGAGTGTGCTTTGTTTTCGGTTTAGTCACACTCCCTAATATCAGTTGAAACCTGTTTTGCATACATACGTGCAAGGTTTCTACAGTTCGCTCACAGCTGGTAATGCGACGGACCCTGCCGTGCAATGTATATAGATCACAGAAGAGCACGCAGTTTCGAGTAATTTTCGGGTTCTAAAGAGCTTAGTTAACCTTCAAAACTAGTTTCGCTGTTCTACATGGAGTCTCGTCGGAAGAAGACCACTCATAGTTCTGAGTTGATTTCAAACTCAAAAAGGTGGTTCCGGTGGAAGTGGGCCGCTCTTGTCTTGATCTGAAAGCGACCTTTTCTAATTTTCTACTTCTAAATCTCCTAGAGTTAAGCAGTACGCTTCTGTTCAGCAGAATACATAGTCCGGCCTGTAGTCTCTAGAATACACAAGGTTTGTTGTCTACAGGCACTGCGACACAGTTTCGAGGTCTGAGATAATCTTTCTTTGAGCTTCGGAATTTGCGCACTGCTATGCTATTTTTTCTTACGTTTTCTGGTGAACTACTCGCTGGCTGAACGAGTATTTGCCGCTCCCTAAATCAGCAAGTATTCGGGCGTTTCCATGCAAGAATTCTTTACGATCGGTCATGTGCATGTGTATGTGTGTAAAGCACCCATATCATGACCCTCCCATTTTCACCCTGTACTTTTTTACCGAGTTTTTTAGATGCAGGATTGCAAAGCAACTGCTTTTCCTCTGGCGATGTTTCTGAGCTGACATACACTGTAGCAGCCAGCGAGAAAAAAATCATTCTATTGTTCAGTTGTGCCCAGGCACAGATGAACAAACAAAATTTCCATGGCTTCCAAAAGAAATATTCAGGAAAGGAAGGTCTACCTGGAATGTCTGGAATGGACGGCTTGCCCGGCCTACCAGGTCAGAAAGGAGAAGAAGGTCTTCCTGGAATCGCCGGAGCCGAAGGACAAAAAGGAGATACTGGATTATCAGGGGCACCTGGACAGCCAGGATTAGCTGGCCCTCCAGGCTACCCTGGTCAAAAAGGAATGAATGGAATACCCGGAGTACCAGGAAGCAAAGGTCGGAAGTGCGTCTTTGTTGAGAGGAAGTTGTTTATATAAATAAGCAAATTTTAGGAGATTCTGGATTACCTGGGTTACCCGGGCCACATGGAGCAAAGGGTAACGCTGGCTTACCAGGTGTACCTGGATTGCCTGGTATGAAAGGTAGTGCCGGATCGCCAGGAGCACCTGGAAAAGATGGATATCCTGGTTCTCCTGGTATTAAAGGTGACCGTGGTTTCAATGGTATACCTGGAGAAAAGGGTGAACCTGGGCCTGCAGCTCGTGATGGACCAAAAGGAGATCAAGGACTACCCGGACAGCCAGGACTCAGAGGACCACAAGGTTCTCCTGGCCTCCCAGGCCTCCCTGGAATAAAAGGAGAATCAGGACTGCCAGGGTATGGCCAACCAGGTTCAATTGGCGAGAAAGGACTTGCTGGTGTTTCTGGAAAAATGGGCCGACCTGGAGCACAAGGACCCCCAGGTCAGGACGGTCTTCCAGGATTTCCAGGTCTCAAAGGTGAACCGGTACGTTTGCATGTTGATTCCGACAAATGTTGGTGTTTTTTTACTCTTTTATATTTTAATTCTTGACAGTAAATAAGCTTTTTAAGGGATATCCCGGTCACCACGGAGCTTCTGGCAAGGACGGTATGCCAGGCCTCCCAGGGATCAAAGGAGATATAGGTGTTCCTGGAGAGCCCGGGAAGGCAGGCTCACCAGGTCAGCCAGGAGCAACGGGAGCTCCTGGAATAAGAGGTGATAAAGGCCAAGCTGGTTTGCCTGGACTTCCAGGTGATCGCGGTCTTGATGGTGTACCTGGCTCAAAAGGAAACAATGGTTATCCTGGACAGCCTGGTCTCCAAGGAGTTGTTGGGATGAAGGGAAATACGGGAGCACCAGGGTTCCCAGGTCTTAAAGGAAACTCGGGGAATCCCGGTCAAGACGGGCTTCCTGGACTTCCAGGAATGAAGGGTGAGACTGGTTTCCCGGGGCAACCGGGCCGCGACGGAGTGGATGGTGTTCCAGGAGAAAAAGGACTCAGTGGATTACCAGGCCTACCTGGACCGCCAGGTGAGTGAAGCTTACATTGATTGGATGTGCAGACTGCTCTTTTTGAAAAAAATATTGCAATTGAAATTTCGTTTTTAGGACAGTCGCTCGGCGGATCTCAAGGACCTCCAGGAAAACCAGGATTGCCTGGAAAAGATGGCCTTCCCGGTTTACCCGGCCCTAAGGGCGATTCTGGTCAACCTGGCTACCCTGGTGCACCAGGACTGAAGGGAGAAAGTGGCTTGGCTGGTTTCCCAGGCCAAAAAGGAGAACCAGGAAAATCAGGATTCCCAGGAAAACGAGGCAGTGACGGATATCCTGGAGCCCCAGGAAAAGATGGTTTACCCGGGCTCCCTGGTAGCAAAGGAGAAATGGGGTTACTTGGCCCTCCTGGTCCACCTGGAACTCCTGGACTGCCTGGCGTGAAGGGTGATTCTTGCTCTCCTTCTTTCTCTTCATGCTTAAGTTTCGATTTCTAAATTTTGACCTTGATTCCAGCGATAGGTTTGTGAAAATATGTCAAAGATTTGATAGATATGCATTTTCAGGTGACGCTGGCCTCCCTGGATTTCCGGGGCAAAAAGGCGAAAATGGTTTGCCTGGTCTTCCTGGTCAACCTGGCTCACCTGGAACGAAGGGTGATACTGGTTTCCCTGGACAACCTGGTCGCGAGGGACAACCTGGGATGGATGGACCACAAGGGCCACCTGGAGTCCCTGGACCGAGCAGTGTCACGATTCCTGGACAAAAGGGAGAACCTGGGCTTCCAGGAGTCCCGGGAATGCGGGGAGAGAAAGGCCTACCTGGCCTTGACGGACCACCTGGAGTAGACGGCCCACCTGGAACTGTTGGGTCACGTGGGAGTGATGGTTTCCCCGGTCAGCCTGGTTTACCAGGTGAGAAAGGCGTTGCGGGTCTTCCTGGAATTCCCGGCCTTGATGGAGCTCCTGGAGGACCAGGTGCTCCTGGATATCCTGGGGCACCAGGACCTGCTGGTCCGGCGTATAAAGATGGCTTCCTACTTGTGAAACACTCACAGACAACTGACATCCCTCGCTGTCCTGAAGGTCAGACCAAATTGTGGGACGGTTATTCGCTGTTGTACATTGAAGGAAATGAGAAATCGCACAACCAGGACCTCGGTGAGTGGATTTTACTTCACATTGCCATGTTCTCGACAATGCACGTCAAAAAGGTCCGCATTCCTGCTATTTTCGGGTGCGAACGAATAAAATAGACGAAAGTAGTAGTAAAATTGTGAAGGTCATATGGGTATCTGTGGAAATGCTCTACCCGAGAATCAAACAACGTTATTTTAAGAAAGCGCAGGAATGCAGGAAAAATTGTTCAACAAGTTATGCCCCAATGTTTTCAATCAAAATCTGCGACCCGCCATCGGGGCATTACTCAGAAGGCACCACCATGATTGCGCCAAGACTGGGCCACTCCGCATGCAAGTTCAAGGTTGTCTTGACACGATCATTTTACCGTGGCACCACTTCCTAAGTTTCTTCCACGTCTGGTTTTCTTGAAACCTAGGCATATTGCATAATGTTTCACACTGCAGTAAAGGTTCGTAATGGTAGAACTGCTGCATCCTGTGGACATTCCAAACGAAGGGAATTGTCATCTATAGAGAACTGAACGTTTCAATTATTCTACCCCTTTCCCCCTTCCACAGTGTCTCAAGCTAAATTTTCCGCGGTGTTGATCGGGAAGCTAGCAAATTGGATAGTAATTTGATTAGGAGATTGAAGTCGGATCCACCCTCGTGCCCGTTTTCTACTGCCTGATCGAGGCCCAACGAAGGTGATCATGTAACTGAGGAGGTCTCTCTGGAGCCATGACCAAGATGACACAACATTTTACTCGGCTAACGTTTCGGCCAATCGCCTTCGTCAGAGCCTGGAAGCCAAAAAATATTTGAGACTCATCCTGACCAAACGACGTTCAGACCTCAGCTTAGTTCAAGTGTGGCGTATGGTCTGCTGTTGTTCCTAATATGTACAGACCAATTAGGAGTTTGAACAGGCGAAGTGGAACGAGAGGAGTCGCGTAAGAGAGCATGTGAGATTGCAAATTTGAATGGTTATGGGACACACCACAGAAGACCAAGCCCACGTATTTGAGCCCACGTGGGAGTATGGTGTATCTCCGGCTTCTTTTCACACCAGACAAAGTCATCGCAGCAATCCGACAATGCATTACAGGAAGGACTAGGCGGATGATGTCGTCTTAACAAGCCTATCAGCGGACAATATCAAACGTACTTCATCCGCGATGAGCTTTATGATCGTGCATGTACCATGGATGACTGCGTTATTGTGCGCTTGGAAAAAAATGGAAATTGCACATGGCGAAGAACGGTGCATCAATTTCAGTGTTCAGCCTGTGACGGGATATAAATTGGTAAGATGGAGAGGCTGTTGGGTATACATGTCAAAGAACATTTAGCACTCAAAAGCGTGGAAGTCTCAGACTAGAAGAACATCAGGGCAATGGATTTTATTTCGAGAACTTGGTCCACTAAAATGAGATCGATGCTAGAAAGATAATGGGAGCGTTAGACAGATAATACTAAACTGAGCAGCCGAAATGAGTGAATTGCCACGACAATTAAATTTCTGCCCTTATTTTTGTAGGACTTGAGATCACCGTGTAATTCTTATCTGACGTTGTCAATGTTGTCATATCGGTCCGTTGTTGTTAATGAAATTGAGTGGGCGTGGTCAGGTAAGCCTCAAAACAGGAGTTCTGAACCACTTTTCGGTCTCGAAGACAGCGATTTGTTTGAAACAATGACGAAGTGAAGCGGTTCTATCTCAATAATCTATATGGCAAAGCAGTGTGGAACATTATCCAGTTTCTGAGTTTCATCACTGATCGGTTGACAATACTTTTTTGCAAGATGCTTCTTCTCTATTCCGCTGAGACGTTCTGTTAGTTTTCGGATTTTTCTTCTCTCGCATATACGAATGCGAAGAACAACTATAGGGAACAATAAAAGAAAGCGCAGAAAAATGGAGAGAAAGCGTTTCCCGGAAGAAAACTCCATCTACATGGTAATGTTGTTCGATAAGGACAGTATTACTAGGACTACATAAAGCCTCTTGAGCATTTAGGTGGTTCAAAACTGCAACTGATATGACTCCTCCTATCCCATGCCCTTCTTGTGGCAAAACTTGCAAGTTTAAATCTTAAGTGTTTAAATGTTGCCGTATGTATACATTCTGAGAACACCAAAAAAACACAAGAAGAATAAATTGTTCGGGATGAGATATAAATAGGCCACGGATGGATGCAAGATGGAGAGAGACGCGTTTCGTTCAGGTCATGCCGGCTCGTGTCTGCAGCGTTTTTCTACGATGCCTTTCTTGTTTTGCGATTTTAATAATGTATGCAATTATGCGTCACGAAATGACAAATCATACTGGCTTTCAACTACTGCACCGATTCCGATGATGCCTGTTAGTGAGGGAGAAATCGAACGTTACATCTCAAGGTTTGTTCCATTAAGGGAAAGGGTTTGCTGGAGACAGGAATATGAGAAAAAACCTTTCAAGGTGCTCAGTTTGTGAGGCGCCCGCGAATGTTATCGCTGTTCATTCTCAAACAATCCAAATTCCAAATTGCCCTAGCGGATGGAATAGTTTATGGATTGGATACTCATTTGCCATGCATACAGGAGCTGGGGCTGAAGGAGGAGGGCAATCTCTCAGGTAGGTCGAATTCGTCGAGTAATTCCAATTTTGATGACCACTTTGCAAAGACGACGGCCAGATCAAGGCAGTCTTGGGTCTGATAGTTTGTATTCGTATATATATATATATATATATGTGTATATATTCAGCAAAAATAGTTCTGCTGTGCAATTGTTATGAGGAAAAGTAACCTCGTCGAATTTAGTGTAAGAGATTCTCTAGCTTTTAAGCAATTTTAGCTCTCCTGGATCTTGTTTGGAAGATTTCCGAGCGACACCATTTATTGAGTGTAACGGAGCCCGGGGCACATGTCATTACTTTGCGAATAAATTCTCCTTTTGGCTCGCTACGATCGATAACGATCAAGAATTCAAGGTGGGTTGTATTTTTTAAATGGAAGAATAGAAAGTCATTTGTTCATCCTCAACCTGTACTCTTTCAACTGAAACCGTATTGTGTGCAGATTCCTGAAAGTCAAACGCTCAAGTCCGGAAGTTTACGAACGCGTGTTTCACGGTGTCAAGTATGCCTCAAGTCAACAGAAGATCGCCCCTGATCCTTCGCTTGCATCGTCCTAAGCATTTTTCGAGTGTCTATATTAGCAATGTATTGTTCTCATTGTTAACTCAGTAATCTTCCCATGTTTCTATATAACGTTAAGTTGTTTCGTTAGGTCAGCTATATGTCATTCACACTTCATATGAATATTCGCAATGTGATCAGCTTTCCTTATACAAGTACTGCCTTCGAATAATTACAGTTCAGTATTCATGTAGTCATAGTACTCCTCTGTTCCATTAAAGACATTTAATAAGAAGAAATAAAAAACATATGAAAAGAAGCTTGCGTTTTAGAACACCGAAAGTTGGTAGAACAGCGATGAATCCACTTTTTTTTATTCGCCTAGCGAACACCACATGCCGTGTTTACACAGCGAGCACACGGTTGCAAAGTGGGGCACATCTTAACGCTTAATTTGAAAAGTGCCGGCGTAATCGGATCTTAGAATTGTGAAAGACGCCTTCTCCCAGTTGAGAAGCTAGGAGCATTGGGTGAAGCTCTACTGTGTTGTTGCATAAGTAGTGTCGATATTCAAACTTTAATTCCTCCCCTTAGAATCCTGTTTTCAGCCACCTTCGTAAGATGTTTTTCACTAGCACGGAGTGCTCTCTATTTTGCTAAAATAAGGAGACAAACAGATGAAGCATTGAAACCCTCGCGTGAACTCACGGAACGCATCAGGGATATGTGGCTAAATACTACTTTACAAGCCTACGAGAAAAGCGGCTCATGCCCAAACAGCGAGATGACCAGTTATAGCCGAGAATTGGGACGGTCGCCTTTAACTCATTCGATGTTACCTCGTAACACTTGGAAACTGGCTAGCATAATCAATTTGCGCTATAGCAGGGACTGACATGATTGTGAGGTGGAGTTGGTAACCGTAGCAAAACGGCCGATAAAAAGATCAGTCAACCTAATTGTGCCAATAGAAATCATGGACAATGACAAAAATCAACTACAGCATGAACCGTTACCAAAAACACCAGTAAAAGCATACGCTCAGAGGAAAACCGAAACACTTACCACCTGCACCTACGTGAACATGTGAATTACGCAGAACTAATAATCAACTTAACAGTGGAAAGTAGTTTAGGTTTGTTCTTTTTACATTCTGATACTTTCCTCAGCGAGTACTGTCTATTGAAAAGGCAACCAGGGAAGCATGAACAACGCATTAGTGCATGTGACATTTATTTTTAATGAGGGTAAGTGCGATTTTCGTGGAACGGCAACTTAGATTGTTGTTTGCAGTACACTACCTGCACGCGAACGCTATGACGGTAGCAGCTCCTCCTTTGCAAGCTATTATGTTCGCGTGTACTCACAATGTAGCTGCACTGATTAGAGTCCACAAGAGCATGACAACGAACGGTATCAAGCTACAGCGCTTCACATATTTCACGGGAACAATGATAATTGCGGGTTCAAGGGCAGCCACCAAGACATTCGACGAATATCAAGGTAGGTATAAAGCAAAGGATAGAATGTTATATGGGATACGCCATATGTCGGCTAAGCCATGAAGCTGAACTCTACCCACACCGCATAAGGAAGAACACATCATCGAAACCATGTATGTATATATTTATGTATGTATGTGTGTGCGTCTGCGTATGTGTGTGGATGTGCATGCGGTGTGTTTAGATGGGAATTCACTAATTTCTTCTCTTTGGGCTAACTGGGCTGAAATCTTTTTAGAGATAAGCTCGGCGGGCTGCACTGAGATGATTGAGTTGGATCGATAAATATGAAGCATAGGAGGCAAAAATCACTAGCTCTTTTATCACCGGCACCTTTCTATATGATGTGGGATGCGAGTAGGTCGTAGAAATGTAGTGAAAGAAAGTGACTGAAAACCTGAAGGCTGACAAGGGGCTATAGAAGTCATGACTTATCCCAGCAACCGAATATTCTGGTGACTTATGCAGGCAGCCTTCAATGTCAAACGAATCATCGCTGCAGAAAGAATGCTCATTACAAGAGAAAAAGAAAGAAGTAAGGAAGTTCACAATCCCTCGTATTGATTCACATAAATAGGAAGAGTATTTCTCAGGATTTGTATGGCATCGAGATTTTCTGGTCCTTTGCTGGAACTTCTATAGAAAAAAAAGAAAGCCAGGCGTTGGCCACCGACGCATCTACTAATACTACAAAGCTTATGCAGAAATCCTTTGTAGCTGAAAAAATAACATCAAAAACAATTTCCATCATTGTGTTACAAGCGAAGTTGGTAATACAATCGCTGAAGTGTGAATAAGAAGGCATAAAATTAAGTGATGATGGGGATGGTAATACGAGCACTCTCAGTATATAGTCGTTTTCAATGATTACTGTCGATGCCAAAATTTGCGGAAGCGCCAAACTTGATCACTGAGTTCTTACCATGTTTTTACTGCCTTCTTACCCCGAAAGTACATCAACAGATTTTCGCAGGTTACGTATCATATAACTATACTCAGATTCTATCTCCTGAACTATACTTTCTTATATCCAGAATAATTCCAGAAGATCAGACAGTTATTTCAGATAGGGTTCGACATGCTCCACCGAAGCACTGTAATCAGTAAAAAAATGCAACAATAAACGAACATTTTCCAGATTGAGTTTCGACAGACTTTGGAGACCTTCCGAGGACCTTGTTGGTTAGCAAAAAAAATTTTGAGTGAGCAGATGAGAGTACAATCGAAACCCGAGCAACCTCTTTTGACCTTTCTAGCGGAAGCGTATTTGCACTGTCCTCAAGCGAATGAAGGTTTCAACGGTAACGAAGCACTGGAGACTAGTTAAAATCGTTAGGAAGCGTACGTCTTGGTAGCCGTCTAATTGTCAACGGGACCCAATTTGCACTATACTCCCACTTCCGCCCCAAAAGTTGATTAACAATGTTTTCAGCGCAAGTTGATCTCATGTGAATTTCTTGGATTTACAGAACTTCAAAATCGAACACTTCATAATGAATTTCGCGACGCTCTATCCTTCAGAGTAATGCCACCAATCTTAGGCCCGCTCATCTTTGAATTGTTCCAATTTAGAAGATGATAGTTATGTGTGTCATTTCTATAGTCATGAGTATTTCCTTGTTCAGGAAGCTGCTTCCTCAGATGCTAAGTAGTCTGTAAGCCCTAATATGATTTCTGAATATAGATCTTGGCTACTACAGACTGCAGCTGTTTACTAGCTTCTATCGGTGCTTTACCCAACAGATGAGTTGTATCGAACCAATTGCTACTTGTTTCTGACTTTTGATCCCTTCTACTTTGCCACTCATTCTACACACAAGGAACATTTAGGTTTTCTTGCTCGACCGACTATTACTCTCCCTGTCCAACTTTTGCGCTCTTTTGGGGCAGCGACTAGAGTTCTCGACTGGCTTCCATCCACTTAGGTGGACACTCGCCCAGCGTTCACTATTGATCTTCCTGACTGTTTGGTTTATATCCGTTTCCTTCGGTCTCTTAAAAATTTTCGAGCATTGCTGCTATTTTTCTCTTGAGTTCAGCACCTTCAGACGCATTAGCCGTCTTTCATCAACAAGTGTCTTTTTCTATTCGTCACACTTGCAAAATACACTCTCCGCTGCTCTGTCCCTCATTTGGGGCCGATTACCAAATTTTCTGATTTCTCTGACAGAGAACTAAGGAATTTGAACTAAACCTCAGCTTCCTACGCATGTATCCCCTATCGTTCACTTTGGGTTGAAAATTGAGTAGAGAAATTTTACTCTGCAGGCGGGGTACTAGCCTGGACACGTATAAGAAAAGCAGGTCTGGTAAGCGCTGATAGTAGTGGTGAATCAGAATGGAGTGTACGACAGGGCGTCCATTAGCCGCAAACTAGTGAGTCAAACATTCGGCTAGTTCGGCAAGGAAAGTGAGCAAATACGGTATTGCCTTGCTGTTTCTGCTATGGTTTGCTTGCAAATAATCGATCATCTCAAAAAGACGGCGGTAAAACCGACTCAACGACTGTTTGAAAAGCCTATGAGGACACGTAAGAAGGGATCTGACGATTATTTGCAAGGTCTACGAAAACATCGGGAAGTCGTATGCAGGTGCTTTTGAAGCAGAGATAGAAGATTGACTTCGACAAATAAAAGAGCTAAGCCAAAACTTCGAGCCCGTGAAAAAAATCGTTAAGCTGGAGACATGATAATGGCCCTACAAGCCAGGACATAAAAAATTAGTGAAAGAATTCGCAAATGACCATGCTGTATATAAAACACAATCACCTAGGGGAAGCCTCTTTGAATATATACTTAGCATCGCAGGCAGCATCGTGATTGTTAAATCACCTTTGGTCTGTCCGTCACCTCTTCGATTGAGCATTGCGGGTGCTTCTTACAAAGGAAGAATACTTGGTCGCCGTGGCCACTCAAGATGAGATGTATACCTCCGTAGGTGGCTTCGAACGCTGATCTCAAATCTGTGTGCCAAACTGCTAAACGATTCCGAGAACAAAGGTACAGGACCGATGCCTCTCTGTGTTATACCACTGTGCAGAACGGATCAGCGAGCCGAACAAAGCCACAACTTGCAACGGTAGCGCAGCTGACAGGATGGTGAACTGAAGGGATGACATCAACGTTTGTTTCCTCGATGCATCTGGTCGTTTTGCTTATCTACAAAATACGTCTTAACCGCTTGCAAAACGCTTTTGGACTCACTGTTGGGCATCTGCAGAGCTCCCTCACAGTTCAGGATCCCAAGGAATAGTAATCCAATAAATTTTTTTCACCGCTACTGACCGAATAGACATATCCCTACACCCAACAGTTAAGATGATGTTCCGAAATCTTCGTCAGCTCCCTGCACTTACGGCAGACGGCGGTCGAATGACTCATCCGACCTTAGCCCTTTCTGGGAGGGATACGGCTCACACATTTAAACAACACTGTCCGCGTTTTCGAAGCGGTGCTGCGAGTTAACTGGCATTGTTGAAAAAATACTGAATGTTGAATTGTGGAACAATAGTTTATCGCTTTGTGTGCACATA